ATAGAATTAGAAGGAAAAAAAATGTTATTGACATCTAACAAGAAGATTTTAAGAATATTCTTAGAATATTCTATTAAATTTTAGAAGATTTCAAAAAATTCTTAAGATATTATAATATGAGATTTTAGGATATTTTTAAAATATTCTAATAAAATATTATAGTAAAATATGATCTTTAACAAACTTTATGGCCTTGCACCTACAAGCCTATGTTTATAGTAATGATTTAAAATACCCTTTCAAAACATTCAACTTTTTTATTAATTTCCAATGATCCTATCCTATAACACATGCAATATACTCTTATATAAGTATTCTTCTTTTTTGCAGCAATAAACCTTGTCTTTTATCCCAAGATGCATTGAACCTCCCTCTTCTACAACTTTCAAATTTAGTTTTTTTTTTTTTTTTTTTTTTTTTTTTTTGACATAATAAAAAACTACTAAACAATCTAAATATCTGGTCAAAATTTATACAAAAAATGAAGCTTTAGTCACAATCTACATTAAATATTGAAGCTCTACTCAAAATCTATGTAATAAATTGAAACTTTGGTCTAAACTTGGTCGCAATAAATTGAAGCTTTAAAATAAATCTAGGCCCAAGAAGCTTTAGTCTAAAATTGGTTGTAATAAATGAAAGCTTTGCTTTAAATCTAGATGTCTTGGCTACAAAGTATATATATATATATATATATATCCATGGCAGATTTCCAAAGAAACTCTCTATTTTGCCAAAGTTTGTCTTGCTAGGGTTATTAAATGGGCCACAATAGAGCCCATTTTAAGACAAAGGCAACTAAAATTATGGTTGGCATTATTATTAGTACCAACAATAGTGATGCCTTTATAGCTAAAAGCAAAAGTTAAAAATAATATAAGTATATATCAAAAGTTGTAAGCTATTTTTTTTATAAAATATATATATATATATATATATATGCATAAATAAAAAATTTTATTTAACAAGATTTTATAAATTTCTTTCTTACAGGCTTTAGCATATCAAAATTTGACCAAATCACAATAGCTACAAATTTATAATATAAAAAATTTTAAAAAATAAAAATAAATAAATAAATATTATAATTTGTCTTTATAAAATAAATAAAGAAAGAATGTGGTCTTATTAAAGCCTTTTTAAAGCCAATAATTTCAAATATTTTATCACACCATAAAATATATTAAAAAGAAGTAATAAAGAATTAACTAATTGCTATAAATGCATACATTATTTTTTAGGAATAGAAGTTGAACTTACAAAATACATAAATTATTGTAAATATGTGCAAGGTAATATTAATCTTGCTATCATTTACAAAAATAAAAGAAATAATAAAAAATATTCTATACTTTATAAGAATAAAAGGTCTATTTTTTTTTAAAAAAATAGACAGCATGTTTTAAAATATATATATATATATATATATATATATATATATATATATATATATATATATATATATATATATATATATATATATTTTTGTATGAAGAAAAAAATTATTAATTTAATGGTTGCAACAATGCAATTGTTTAAGTTAAAAAAATTAATTGTGCAATATAGTCAAGAGTACATTTTCAACATAGTTGAATTGGGTCTATTTTATAATAAATCACTAATTAATAGAATTTCTAATAAATAAATTAAACATACAAAGAAGATCAAAGAATATATTTTTATTTTATTTATAGCCAATGCTTGAAGATTTAGAAGCTCAAAATTTTTAATATTGGAAGTTTCAAATATCTTGTTTATTTAAAAAATCAAAAATCAAAAATCAATATATATATATATATATATATATATATATATATATATATATATTTCTAATACTTATTGGAAGAAGAAGGCTTGGACGATATTGATGTTGTCTATTGAATAATTTTAATAAGCTGATTACAACATGATTTCTTAAAGACAATAATGTAGTGTTAAAAACATATAATGTGTTAGAGACAAGAACTCAATGAAGGCAAATAAACAAGTGAGACTATCTCAAAGAAATATGAAAAAATAGAAATAGAGAAGAAAAAAGAAACTCAAATGGCTTTTATCAAGAAACAAAGAAACTAGAAACTCTTAAAACTAGACTAGAGGCAAGAAGGCTTCACTCTTGCCTCTATATATACTATCTACATAGTATCTATGTGGCATCGTTCTATAGGACCTCCAAAAACATGTTGACTTTGCATGACACATATCTTAACTTGCAGGGCAAGTTTTCTATATTGATGCCATATAATTAGCTTATTCCACAAGCTACAAACATATATGGCACGAGGTTAGCTTTTTGACCAAGTTTTTAACCTATTAATCAACTACAAACACATGTAAAGTCAAAATAACATGTAGGAAGCTTTTAGGAAGCTTATCTAGAAGGTCTTATGAAATTAATTTACTTTTATTTATTTCTATCTATTCATAATACATAGGTAATAATTACAATAGATATGTATCTATGACATAATATTACTTAATGTGGTATTTGAAGAAGATGACTACAAAGAATTGGATAATGATAAGAAAGCTGTAAAGTTCAATACTACATAAAAAACATAAGGTTTAAATATTTAGATATTATTACTAGAATTTTTTTTTCCATATAAAAATAATTGAGTATGTAAAATTTTAACAATCTTTTTTTTTGGTAATACCAACATGATTAACTTCAATCAAAATTTAAAAGTTATAAAACTAAAATCATACAATGAATAACTTTTTATATTGCATATGGCACTTCAAGAGCTTAAAAAAAATAATGTTATATTGTAATGCAACCATTGGTAAAAGAAAATAAAATATTATAGAAGATCTTAATTAAAAATATAGTAGCAAATTAATTTACAAACATAAATAAAAGTTAAAAAGATAATAATAATAATTTAATACTTATATTATTTTTTTATTAAAATAACTTCTATTTCTTTTGTAGGACCATAAATAAGACAAAAATAATAACAATAATAATATTATAGATATTTTAAGGTAATGTTTTTTTTAAATTAATAAAAAATTATATAAAGAAATCATAGATTAACATTCTAAAAGGACCAATTGTAAATATTTTTGTAGAAAATCAATATGTGGAAATTTTCGGATTTTTAAATATAATTGTTTTGGATGTGTTTTGTGAAATCAAGCTTAATTGGATGGTAAAATCGAAATTAACTAAAATTTAAGTAAGTTGAAATATTAGATATTATATTTTAAATGCCAATAAGAGTTTTTACAATTTTTAGCAATTTTTTGGTTAAATTGAAATGATTTTTTTGTACATTGATATTTGACTTAATTTTAAATATTCATACAAATTTTTAGAATCATTGAATAGTGCAAAAAGAAGCCATTAAATTTAGAATGTTAAAATCAAAATTAAGAAAAAATTGACATTCAATACCCATGCAAATTTGAAGCATTTTCTTCCAATTTATAAGTTTGGTTGTCTTCAATTTTTGTGTGTTTTTTTTCAACTAGTAGATTGGGATGTATAAAAAATTTAAATTAAAATGAAGAGTTCAAATAATAGTTCTTGAGGTTTTAAATTTGCTTTAAACTTTACATAGGTTTTAATTAGAATTTGTTGAGAATTACTTAAGATTTCATTAGGATTTAATTATGAATTACTTAGGATTTGATTAAATTATTTTATAATTTACATAAGATTTGATTAGGATTTAATTATAATTCAATTAGGATTTATTTAATATTTTTATAGAATTGGATAGGATTTGATTAATATTTCTTTGGAGTTTCTTTGTAAGTTTTTTAGAATTATCAAGGATTTATTTAGGATTTGATTTAAAATTACAAAGGATTGTTTAAGTTTTATTTAGAGTTGATTGGTGTGTGATAAGATTTTTCCAGGATTATTCTAAGGTCAATAAATGAAATTTAGCATCATTAGAAGCTTACTTAAGTTATTCAAAAAAATTATTTAAATTTATATACAATTTTATAGTTTTTTAATATGATTATTTAATTTATTGAAGATCAGACATACAATAGCTGAAATATTTTATCATATTAAAATTTATATTAACTAACGAAATAAGTGATATTTATTTTCATGATACAACATTTTTTGTTTTAATATAAAATCAACTGCTATATCACAATCATTTTTATTTAAATATAAATCTATTTTTATTAATTATTATTTTTTAAAATAAAATATATATAAAAAAATTAATATAAATATTATTTCATGATTTGTATAAAATAAATTATAGTTTTTATTTTATAATTTAAACATATCATTTCAATATTTTACCATTATTTTTTTTTTGATTTTTTATTTGTTTTTTATATTTTATTTATATATTTATTTCTTAAAATTTATGATTTGATATTCATGTCTTTCAATTTTGTAAAAATTATTTACAACAAGACTAAAGTGTGTTAACATAATTTTAGTTTTAATTTATAAATATTATTATATATATATAAATTAAAAATACCTTTTCAACAACACCTTTTTAACAACACCTTTTTTCATTACATAGTTCTAAAAGATTTCACGAGCTTGAGAATCCTTTGATCATTCTGTTTAAGTTCATGGGTTTACTGCAAAGAAAGAGAAAGCTAAGTTCTGCGCTATCAACAACCCCACAGCAACGCTATGCACTTTCTCATCCAAACGGATAGATGACAGACGTCATTCATCGTGGTGTGCGGTTTTAGGGGAAGATCCACACCACGTTCCCATCCTCCGTTCGCAGAAATCCGATCGGCGGTTGAAATTGAATCCGAGTGGCGGATGCGATCCGACGGTGGCGGAGCATCTGCCACTTGGGAGCTATCTGCGACACAATTCCACGAGGGCCACGACTTTGGGTGCATCACATCCCCCCCCCTAGAATGTGACTCTGTGCCAATGACCTATTTGGGGATTGGAGTTAGGGTTTCGAGAGAAGTGTGGCCGGGTGTTGCGTTGCGTTGTGTTGGTGTTTGGATGGGAAGTGTGGAAGTAGAGCGGGTGGGGGGGGGGGGGGGGGGGGTGATTTATTGATGGAGAGAGGGATGAATTGAAGACCCCGTTGCGTTGCGATGGGGGACTGGAGCTTTGCCGGCGGAGTGAAGGCGAACCCGGAGTTGTATGCACGGTACGAGGTGCTGGAGAGGTTGGGGGAAGGGACGTATGGGGAGGTGTACAAGGGGCAGAGGAAATCAGATGGGCTCGTGGTGGCTCTGAAGGAGACGCGCGATCCGCAGTGCGCGGCGCGGGAGGTGGAGGCCCTATTGGCATTGAACCATCCGAATGTAGTGAAGTTGATTGAGTATTTCGTGCAGGGTCCCAACCTGATTCTTGTGCTGGAGTTTCTGCCTTCGGACTTGTACCGGGAGTTGGACGGGAGAGATGGCCGGATATCGGAACCGGAAATCAAGGGGTGGATGCTGCAGATTCTGCGCGGAGTGGCGGCATGTCACCGAGCTTCCATACTCCATCGGGATTTGAAGCCTTCCAATTTGCTGGTTGGCGCGGATGGGAGTGTTAAGGTTGCTGACTTCGGTCAAGCCAGAGTGGTCAATCTACAAACAGACGATTTGTTAGGTTAGTTTATTTTATTTTTTCTTCGATTCGGAAGGGATGTTGCAGTCATTGTTGTTGTAATGGTTTTGGCTGTTTGTTTTTATTTGTCATGAATTTCACGATTACAGTTGCCTTGGAATTCCCACCTCGTAAATATAAAAGTGTCTCTAAACGTCTCAATACGTCCGGGTCGTGTGTGCTTGAGTAAAGCTCAAAGCGTTCAACATCTGACCTGAAGGAGATCGTGCCTGCCTATGTTCCACCAGTTGAAAACCCTTTCGATGGAACATGCTCCCGTCAGATCTTTGGAGAATCAGGACGTATGATTATGAATGCCAGCAATCATGGCCATGGATACCAGGACGAGCCTCCCTCAGTGCAAAATTTGCCTTCGCCCCTCCATAACCACGAAATACCGAGAAATGAGGAAGTGACTGTGGAAGATGAAGAGACCGAAAAGGCTGTGCGGGTTTTATGTTTGGAGAGAGTGCACAATGGCACTGAAGGTTATATAAAAGAGGTTGAATGTGCTGAAGAGGGTAGTGCACCTCGTAGGCCAGAAAAGGAAGGTACCATTCGTTTCTGGGATGGGGACCGAGAAAGGTGGGAATCTCCTTATGCCAGTGATGAAGACAAGGGAGTTGAAGATCCTCTCAATTCAAAGTGGTTTCCTGCTGACAGTGATAATGTTAGGCAAGCTGCAAATGGCTTGTTTTTTGATGATGGCTCCTGTCCAGCTGAACCAGTTCCAGGTTACTTTGCATTTGGAGACGCTGAAATTGAGGATAGTGACCAAGAGGAAGGTTATTTGGCGTGTCAGACAGGCTGGTATGGACCTCCCAATGTTCGTGATTTATATGTGAAGGGAATACCCGAGGTTGGCGAAGCGACCTCCCAGAATGAATATGTTGATGAACATTCAAGAGAGGCATTTGAGCCGTACAACGATGAAAATATGTATAAACCTGAAGCCCGCAGTCAGCACGAGGACACACAATCTACGTATTCAGGTGAAAGTGGGAACAAGGGGTCGGATTTGAGTCCATTTGTAGGAACGCGGTGGTACAAAGCTCCAGAGTTACTCTATGGAGCAGTTAAGTATGGTGAAGGGCTGGATATGTGGGCTATCGGTTGCATATTTGCTGAGCTTCTTAGTGGGAAACCTCTATTTCCGGGCGTTACTGACATCGATCAGTTAAGCCGGATCGTGCGAGTGCTTGGAGCTCCAAATGATATTGTCTGGCCTGGCGTATCATCGTTACCGGATTTTGACAAAATTTCATTTTCAGACCAACGGGATCTTCTTTCTTTCCGGAAGCTCATCCCCCAAGCATCTACATCAGCATTGAAGTTCCTTGAGAAGTTTCTTGTTTATGATCCTGAGCGAAGACTTAGTGCAGAGACTGCACTCAAGGATGTTTATTTTCTGGAAGACCCATCGCCTGTTCCTGGGGATTTGAAAATGCCAAGCTTCAGGAGAGACAGCAGCCCTTCAGAGGATTGGGGAGAGTGGCGTGACCCGGGTTCACCTTTTTCCGACTTTGAGATATTGGATTCAGCTCCCTAGGTAGATACAATTATGTACATTCGTCGTCATAGGATTGTATAGTTTCCACTTCGGAATTTGAGACGTCGCTATATAAACAGCGCGGTCCCAAACCAAAGAACACATTTGGTATATAAATTTTATGAATCAATCTATGGATTCAATTAATCCAGTAGAGTTGGTATCACTGTCTTAATAAATATTTAATTTATCAAAACTACAAATATTTAGATACTAATGCAAACACATATATACAGGACTAAGTAAATAAAGTATTAAGTAAGAATCATAGATATCATTTTTTTTATGTATATAACTTTATTTTCCTTAGAGATTAATTTTTTTTAACCTACCATGCCAAAACTTTGCACAGTAAGCAATGCCAAAAAATAAGATAAAATGAAGTAAAGCAAATGAAAAAATCCACTGTGCATTAGACAATATTTTCTAAATATAACATAGAGGAATGGATTGTATTACATTAGGCAATACAATTTTAAAAGATTATATAGAAAATGGATTATAAAAAACTAAATACTTAACAAATAAATTACATTAGTATAACATACTTGCTTTTACTCCTCCTAGCATTCCAATGGATGTAAAAAGAAAATGATAAATCTTCCTAGTTTTATAAGAATAAAACCATTCTTATTCACAAGTAGTTAGAAACCTTATGTGTGTTATAAATAGTTCAAGAGCAGTTTGTGTTTGCACAACTACTAGTATAGCATGTACAATTTTTCTTTTCTATATATTCAAAACATTAAAATAATTTTGATGTATATAAAAGGCACTTTCTCTTGAAGAATCAAATATCTAGCTAGAGAAAATGAAGGCTTGATTTATCAATGTATTGATGTTGATTGGATTGGTGACAAAGACACTAAAAACTATGCTTCTTGATAGAAGCATAATTTTCTTGAGTAACAATAAATATCAAATAGTAGCATGTTCTTTAACTTTATTTGAATATAAGGTTTTAGTTGATGCAATAGTAAAAGAAATATAGTTTAGAAGATTACTCTTAAAATTAAAATTTATATGAATTTATTTTACAACCACATATTATAATAGCTAGAATATCATAGCTTTAATAGAAAGTCCTAAATCTTATTTTTAAAATAGTTATGTGGATGTGTAGTATCTTTTTAAAGAAAAAAACTTCAACTAAAGAAATTCAACTTTTATGTACTTCTAAAGACAAAAGATATTTTTATAATTTTTTTGTAAAAATATATGATTCTATTGTATGCATGTATTGAAGATGACTTTATTGGATAGTCTTTGCATTCTTCTTAAAAAACATACACAACCAAAAATTCAAATTTAGCTCTTATTTTGTTTTAATTGAATAGAATATTTTCTCTTCTTTGTTTTAATCAAATAAGGAATAGAAGACATAGAAGCACATCTGTATTATATAATTTGTATTTCTAATATTATCAATACAAAAGAAAAAATACACATTAAAATTTATAATAAAAAAAATTATTTTATTCTTATTTAAAACATCTATATTTAGAAATTTTAGTTGCTGTTATACTTTTAACTAATTTTAGTAATTATAATAAAACAAATGTATTGTGACACCACATCTTAATCATTTTAGAAATAGAACATTCTTGGATGTCTTTGTAAATGCACCTCAATCTCTTGTGTAGTATTCTACATTATATACCATGATAAACTTTGCTTCATTTAGACAAAATAACTTTTATTTAATAAATTTTTTATTTATACTTTTAATATTGACTCAATTGACTTTAGCAATTGTTTAGTGGTTACTTAAACAACATTTTTTTTTTTTGTTAATTGATGAATCTTAACATATCTACTCTGTTGTTTTATTAAATGTAATATTTTTTTAACAAATCTTTGGTCAATAAATCAAATTTTCATTTAATTTAAGAAAAAAAAAAACTAGTGTCTTAAAATAAATGATTTGTAATTGGATACTCGTAAAGATACATAACATTAAAAACTTACTTTGATGTGTTTCTAATAAAATGGTGCAAACATTGAATATATAGGCATATAAGTTTAAGACTAATCAATTAATAATGTTATAGATTTTATAGCATAAAATAGCTAAGAAGTAGTTTCTTAAATTATATATTTTAATTGGTGCTTTGTTGTACAAAACACTTAGCCTTCAATATGAAATTTAGTCATAAATTTGATATATTTGGATATAAGCTTAAATAATCTCTAACATCTCATATTAGATTTATTAAAAACTTTTCTAAATATTTGTGATTTTGTTTTTATTATACTTTCCAATAAATTACATTCTTTATTTGTTTAAGAAAAATAAAACTCTTATTTTTTATGAAAATTTTCTAAACCACATTACTATTATATCTAATTTTATTACTAATAAATAATAATTATTATAAATATAAATAATTTAACTTTCAAATATTTTACAACTTTAAAATAAAAACAATGAAAGTGCTCAATACAAAAAATAATTAAATTTAGTAATATACTTTATATATTATTATACTTGAGGATTAATTTATTGGTTTATATTCTTAAAAATTTTAATGGAATATTTATATTACTATGACAATATATTTATAAATCTAATTAAATAATGTATATTTTACACATATTAAAATTATAAATTAAAGCCTTGTTTTTTCAAGGTAGTACTATAATAAGGTCAAAAACTATTTTAGTATATCATTGCTACAAACAATTATAGCAAAGACATTTTCCAACTTCTACATCTTAAACATATTTTAACAATGTCATACATACATCTACAATCACACAATTATTATTTAATAGATTTTTTATACTTACTATAATTTATTATATTTTTATTTATAAATTAAAATACAAAAAATATATGTATATATATATATATATATATATATTAATAAATAAATTATAATATTTTTATTAATATATCTTAAATTATATTTTTAGTAGGTAAGTATTTTTTTGGATCATGTTTTTAATTTTCATTTTAAAATATCAAATAAATCTAAATAATTCTATAGATTCTATCAAAAAAATATTGTTTAAAAAATACAAGTAATAGATTAGATTCTATTGACAAAAAGGTGGACATTTAAGCAATTAGAGACAATATAAATTTGTTATGTTCTAAATATCATAGATTATAAATGTTTGTGTCAAATTGGTTATAATTTATTTATTTATGATAAATATAAAGAATGTATTTCAAGATATATTATTTTATAAAATTTAATCTAATTAATAATCTAATTTTTTTTTATTAAATTTATGTAATTTATATGTATTAATAAATAATATAAAAAAAACAATAGTATCCTAAACATCTAATAATCTAACTTCAATTTTTAGTTCAAATCCTCCTAAAAGTATACCTAATACTATCCCATTATACACAATTATCTAATATATTAAATCTCAATAAATTTTTGGAGGTATTAAAAACAACTTATCTCATATGTTGAGTAGAAAAGAAACATAAATAAAAATATTGAGTAGAAAAAGAAGATTCTATGAAGGAGATATTAATAGAAGAGAAAATAAACATAAAATGAAAAATAGAACTATTGAGTTTAAGAATTTAATTAAAAGTAAAAAAAATTGTATAGTAAAATACCACACTTTAAATCAATTGAATGTTAGTAAAGAGAATTGTAATCTCTTACATAAAACATCTCAAGAAGGGGACAAATACACAGAATAAATAGCTGAGACAAAACAACGTTCTCGTTGGCTGCATGCATCTGTCTTGGTTGAATGAAAAGAGAAATGCTGGAGTGCACAGAGCCTTAACAGAACATAAAGTTTTGTGTTAAACAATGTAATTGCTGCATGTATCTCTCTTTGTTTTCATCAAAAATGTTCAATTACTCAGTTTCAACGTTTAAATGTGTGCAGATTAACGCATCTCGATATTGCAGATCGGTATGTGCAGATTATCACTTCTCGGTATGGCAGATTACCTCATTGCGGTATGCATCACTGGAACGGCACGGATTACGATCAAGTAAGTGCGGTTGCAACTAGCATTGTAACATTCAAAAACATTATATGCTTTGAGGATTCAAATATAATTTCCGACAATAGCCTGAGATGATTCATTCATTTGTAAGCCATCGTAAGTATCCATGGATGTTTTTTGTTTAATTCAGATATTTGCTGTGCAGATACTTAGAGAATATCCAAAGCTCGAAAACATTTTTAGGATTTGATGTGGATCCAGTAGCACATTGTGAGGCAAAGTCTTTATTTCTTCATAAGTTTGGTTGTGAATATTGTATTGAAAATTGTATGCTTTTGATATGTGCCACAGGTAACAGAGGAGCAACTCACAGCTTGAAAAGGACAACTCACTGTTTGTTGAAGTGCCTCTGATTCGACTGAAATTGTGATGTTTTGGACTTTTAGAGGTGCACTTTGTGTACATTAAAGGTTCATCTAGGAAACCTTCCAGATACAGCTGACAAATGCGACGCCGAGTTGTTGGAATGTATTTCAACTGCGTTTGACGGCTACTCCACTAAAAAGAAAACAAGTTCCCGCTAGCATAACTGAACCCAAGCAACTTATTTATTATGAGGGAACATGAACAGCTAGTAAGATATTGTTGCCGGTTTCAATTATGTCAGTTGCAAATTATGAGTCTTCTATCACCTGAATCTTTTCCTGTCCTGGTTTTCAATAGGAAGTTGAGTAGTGTGATGTAATGGTGAGGAATACCAGACACTCAGTGATGGTGTTGATCCTGCAGTGTTGAAGCTGATCGGAGATTCACGAGTTGTGGTGGCAGAAAGTAGCTTCAAACATACCCTTGAACTTGCTCATTTCCAAGTTGTGGAGATATCAGGGAACCCGTGCACAGGAGAATGGGCGATAACATGTATGGACAGGTATTTCAGAGCACATATGCTTATGTGAAGTTCATGCTCAGCAGATCACTTTTTGGAGTATCATTTACAGCGGGAACTCACTATGTGAGTGCATTGAGTATTTACCAAGTATAAGATTTGAACAAAAAACGGCTGATCTACAACTGAAGCATACTAATTGATCTTGCATACAGTAACTGTTCTAGATAACCCGACTTGAACAAATTTTTATTCAAATTTTGGTGCACAGCTCGAAGGGAGCTTTTTAAGAAGTCTAAAATATAATGTAAATAGCAGTTGGTCTTTTACAGGTGTTTCCCCTGACTTTTTGCTGTAGTTGTGAGGGTTACGTGGGAGCGATTGGAGATGCAACACTCTTGTTTCCAAGAGTTGATCGTTTTTGATCACTGAGAGAGTAGTCAAAATATAGTATCAATGGGAGAGTTCACACTTTCAGGACAAATTCTAGCCAATTTACGGCTCGACTTCAGAATCACGCATGAACGGAAATGCAAACGAAAGGGCATTGTGTGAGTGAAATGTTGTGATCACCCCGTACATGAATTATCATCAACAGGTCACATTCTGGGGGCGAAGCACCAGCGTCAATATTGCACAATTTTGGAGAAGTCAGTGTGAGGAGGTGAATTTCCAACCCTTGACAGTGACAGTTGTGCGAAGTCTACATTCAGATCAAGGCAGCCGGCTTTCATTCATTCCCAGGGCAGTGTAGGAATCAGACTGATAAATAGTCAATCCTCAGCAAACGCATTCCGCGTCCGAGTAGGACTGGGGCGACAATTTCTCATCATCACATCCACACTTGCACATTGCAACAAAAAGAGATCAAGCCGTAGGACCAAGGGATCAGACTGACGTGCAAATCATGAGTCCCAACCCACATGATGTGTCCCAAGGATACATTCGGGCAAGGCGAATAAGTCTCACCATCCCCCCACATTTTAATTTCGGAATTCAGAATAAGAGTTATTCTATCCTCAAAAAACACGCGATGTTGCGTTGGGCTGCAGCGACAATCTCTCCTCCACATTCTATACTGCAGTATAATAAGGATCAGCAAAACTTCGGACAGTAGAACGACTCTGCCCTGGCAGAAAATGCAAAGAGAAGGCCCACGCTTTCTACTTGAAACATTAATAAATCCGTAAAGACCTCGGAGTATAGTACATGACCTGCTACAATACGAAAAGACAAATAACCACACAAGACTAAGAAAAAGGGCACAGAAAGCAATCGAGATGAAGTGCGAGCTTCGATGGACTCGTGAGGACTGAGAGCGGGAGGGAAGGTTATGGAAGGTGAGGGGGTTCGGAAGGGGCCCGAACGAAACCCTAAAACGTGTCCGTCCGACGTTTTCATTCATCTATGGATGTGACAACTCAGTTCATTCGTGCGGGTAAGTCATTTCCAAGAACCTGATTACACTTAAGTGATTAGAAAATTAGCAAGACATCGCGGAAATTATGTTCACCAGCAGAACGAGTTAAGAATAGGGGCATGAAAAAGGTAATTACAGTTAGTATGTATATTGATTTACAAATGTAAAGTTTAGAAATAAGATATTAGGTTAAGGTTTGCTTCTTGATATTTTTGCTTCCAAGAAACAAACAAATAACAATGATTTATTAACTTTTAGTAATTCAGTATAAGATTTAAATCTTATTCGGTTTCATGAAGACTTTGAAAATGGTTGAAATTGAATTTTTTATATACATATTGTGTTAACACAATAACACCTCTATCAATTGATTTCATTGAAAACTATTAACAATTATCCATAGTATTAATAATATATATATATATATATATATATATATATTAATATACTAAAATCATATATAATAATAATATTATTAATATTATAGTTCAATTAATATAATAGTTTGATTGATGCATTGCTAATTTGTGATACCAAAGAAAGATTTTTATGTTTTGTTTTAAGTAAATTTAATTAATTTTGACAAACATTTTTTAATTAAAATAAGCATGTTAAAAATATAACGGTTTTTTAAAATTAAGATTACAAGTACTAATTTTTATAATCACAATATTCACAATATAACACTGAATGTTAGCTTGATGTCTACTATTTGAAACTTATAAAGAGTATTATTTGATATACTTAATATAAAAAATATATTTTTTAGATTTTTTAACATTTATTATAAAAAATTAAAAATATACTATATAAATTTATATATGTATATTTGTGCATCTTCTAATATTTAGTGTACTTGAATATATGTGATCTCTTATTTGAAACTATAAATTTTAAATGAAAATTGCCAACTTTTTCTAAAAGTAAAATTAGAAAAATGTGAAACAATGATTATTTCAAAAAAATGACAATAACTAATGACCACCTAAGCAATTATGAACAAATGAGTATTGACTTTTTTTTGTTAATGTTGTTTTGATTAGTTAGTTATTAATATTTTTTGTTCTTTTTTGAATTTTATTTTTATTTTTATTCAAATTTTGACTTTAGTACATCCTTGAATGTGTAATAGAATTTTTGCTTTCTTATGGTTAAACTTTACAAGTAGTTCCTTGAACAAAATTAACTAATTTTTTGCATATTTTCTATGGCTTGTGGCAAGGGTTTCCACTGGTATCTATCAAATTTACTTATATATGTAACAAATATGATATCTCTATTTCTAAAGTCTTTTGTATTTAAACAATTGTTGTAATTTAAACAATATATGTATGTGACAGATTTTATACCAACAAAATATTTAAATGTGCTGTTGTAGTAAAATAGATGTTAGAATGTTTGAATTTTGTATCATATGTAACAACATCTTGGATTTTATAAATCTAGTTACTATATATCAATTTTAAACACAAATAATGAAATTGACAACTTCATGAATAAAACTCAATTCAATGACAAGATGAACTTGGCGAACTAACCCTTTAAATATGTTCGGTGATTTATCAAGAGAAACCAAACAAAACATGTAAAAAACAGCAAAATAATTCACCAACAAACTACATGTTGATTTATTCATGCAACAAGTACACACCTGTAGTTTTTTTTTTAAATACACACACTTTGAATTAATATGGTTTTTGAAAAAATGTTGTCAGCTCTGTTATCTTTAGAACTGACAAAGTATATTGGTTGTGAATTGTTACTCAAATTTAAGTTGGCATGTTTCATGATGCTATACCTCTGTTGTTCCGACCACTTCGAGCTTTCAATATTCTGCTTCAACTGAACTATATAAATGAAAAGCTGCAATAAAGATAGTTGCCGTACTCATTAACCAACATAAGATAAGGAAGGAGAAAAAACTAAAATTCGGCACGGCAAGGACTTGGCATTGAGAAGCAATATCAAACAATTGCCAAAGTTTTGTCACAATTCATTGCAGAATACCTAGACAATACATGCAAAAAGATACAGATCTATCAACAAGATGATGAATCCCATCACAAACTCTTTTTGATGCTTCTCTGTTCGCATGAAGTTCAAAAATAAGCGGCGTCCATTCGACTCTTATGAAGCTGGAAAGCAGGAGTCACCCAAGCTCCACAACTACATTGCATGCCAGACCAATTGAAGTTGCCCAACCTTGCCTCACACTTCACACATTGGAGCTTGCCCTCCACAACTCCCTCTTCCACTGTAAATCAAAACCAAGCAATCAAGCTTCTAGAATGTCAGAAACGAAGAGACTACACTCGGAAGCATACAACTGCTCACAAATCAAATGCTACCCTGGTATTTAATCTGAAGTACATTTAATTATAGGGTTCTCATCATAAAGCAATAAGCCGTATGTCTATTGAAATCAAATCACTCAAAAGACCTGCACTGCTATAACGAAGTTTCAAGAGATTAAGAACAATTGATGCAGTAGATATCTTTCTTTGAGGTATGGTTGGTATTAACTTCCGCTCTTAACACATGCAGAATCAATCAAAAGATAAAGTAATCTCAATCATCTTAGTAAAAGACGTTATTCAAAAATGCTTAATTAGTCTCTTTTTAGCGAGTTCCTGACCAGCACGTATGCCATCACTAGATGCACTTGTTGGGTAGCAATAAACTAAATGATATCGAAAATGCAAAGAGAGCAAACCTGCTGTCATCCATTGCATGGGTTCAACAAACATTGATGTGCACACTGGTGCTTGAGTGTACATTCCCTCTTTACCGCCTCTTTTTTGCCACTTGAACGCAGACTCTCCACCACCAACATCATGCCCTATCACATTTTCATCCCGAGCAACAACTCTCCGACACTTTTTGCACCGATATACAGTGGAACGTTCCGTCCCACTCTCAATGGTATTTGAAGGTGCTGGTAATTTGACAGTGGCAGAGCCAGGATCTGAAGCGTAGCTTGAGCTCTCCATCACTTCTCCTTTTGCAAAAGATTCACCTGCCATAAGAAACAGGGATTGCATGATGCGGATGCTCGGCAGGCAAAATGCGTAATTATATCGCCCTCTCGCCATAAAATTGCAGATTATCAACTAAATCTGATATACTTTTCTTAACTTATATAAGCGTGCAACAAATGGACTACGATGAAACGGGCATCTACGATAACAGAGGAGGTCGCAAATGTGTAGAATGCTACAACAGTTAGCATCACAATACAAGGAATCTTACCAAGAAATTTAACTTTGAACTTCTTGTAGGAAGAGCTGTCTCGATCGATTTTGTTTCCCATGCTCTCAAAGATTGCCAACTGCGCAGTTCCATCCACGGATACAAACATACAACTCAAGATTTCATAGACGCTCAAAATCCTTTCGTGCTGAAATTATTGTTGAATAAATGTCAGTAATTGTGTGCTGAAAATTACCTGCTCCATGAATCCATCATTGGGATGCACACCTGGACTTATTCGGCGCAATGACTTCAATGCAGCTTCAGAATCACACACATCAATCAGACTTTGTGCTGAAAACCCCGTAAATCAGAATGTTGTCTAGCTAACAACGCTGAATATTTAACTAGATTGATATTATTCACAAGGGGGTTTTACTCATAACTAGCAGTTATTCACAAAAAACTCAGAATTGATATTAAGACATCAAGATACAGATGTAAAGTCCACCTATGGAAGAAACAAGAGAAAGGATGCAAACCAGCGGCGGACAGGTGTTCCTTCTGCATTAAGTATGCGGTCACTACAGCTGCACTGCACGTAAACCACTCCAACGATCACAAGTCAGAAAAATGCTACAATCCGTAAACCCTAAACCCTAAATCCTAAATCGAGCACTCATGAATGTAAAGTCACCATTGGGATGAATATCAACCAGTATTTTTCCTTTTTTTTATTTTTCCTCACAACAAAGATTCAATCGGAAATATCTCGTGCCTCAGAAGATCAATACAAATTGAACAAGCATCACTTAATCCTTAAACCCGACATCCTGAGGTCCACCACACAAGAGAGCTCTAACTGCAGGTCTGGAAAGAGTACATTTTTCAGAGTTGTACATGTGCGTCCAACTGCTTCCGACATTACCAAGAAACTGATTTGTGAAACTAGAACACTAAAATTGATTATCCAAGTAGTGTTTTGAACTACAGGGTTGCAAAAGTGCGGCAGAAGTACCTGCGTGAAACACCGGCCGCGCAATGAACCAAGACACCACCACGAGATCTGCCTTTCTCAATAAACTCCAAGCAACTCTCCAAATTGTCCAAGAGGTTCTGCGAATCCTCATCCAGCATAGGAACGGCCAGTTTGTGCAGATTCTCTGCCCCTTGTGTATGAGCCGACGTCTTCGAATCCAAGAGACTGGAGGATGAGCCCACAAGGGATAGAACATGAGAAACTAAAGGAACTTCCGAGGCCTTCACTGCCGCCGCATCACCCAAATCGCCGATGTAAATCCCCTCTCTGACTTCCCTCATAATTTCTAACCTTTTGATGTATATCTCTAGGAACCAAAACCAATACCCCAAGCCTATGCTCTCCTTTACCCAGTACCTAATAGATTCACGTCACAAAGACCACTCGGTGCCAGACCGTCGCGGGATTTCTAACTAATGCACGAGTCAAATTTGGGAGTGAAATACTCGAAATTCACCGTCAATAGTTCCGCATAAACATGGCACAATCTCACGAGAAACCGCCAGTGTCGAAGATCGTTGTAAATTTCAACAGCATGACAGACCTAACATCCCCGTCAACAGCTCCACCAAAGTAAACACAAGCAACAGCTAGATGATACTACAAATGGTACCCTGCTTGGCTAGACAAGCTCAATGGCCAGAACTAAGCTCTTGGTCACACTGCCGTTGACCGTTCAGATTGCATTTAAAGGCTATTTCCAAGTCAGTTCAAAACCCTGGTGGCTCCAACAGCTGGAGCGTTATGGTATTGGTTCTGGTCCACAATTATAGATTCTCTTGTTGTGCATATGCTCGTGAATATGTTAAGTGCAATGTTACTACGTTGCTACTAAAAAGTTTCCTCATGAGGATAAAGAAAGGCTCGGAGGTTGGGAATGAACAACTAAACAATGATTTCAATTTTGTCCTTTGCCGAAATGATAGTAGGCAGGTCCACAATACTGAACTTCAGTTTTGTACCCGGGTGCACATGCTTCCCCACCTCCAACAACAAGAGGTGAGCACGTACATTGTCAAGTGAGTTCCTTTCCAACAAAGGAAGAAAAGAAACATGAGATCGTACAAGAAAGTCTCATGATTCAGAAACGAGAACCAAGATTTCAGGCGCAATAGAGCATCAGTAACCCCCCAACTGTGACCTGAAACAGTCGCAACTCACTCAAATGGGTTAAGTAAGAAATCCATAGACATACACAGGCTTTACTGCCACCGCTGAGTGACCTCAGCTGGAAGGCGAAAAAAGAATTAAATTTAGCTTTGAGCTAACGTCAAGTGACGCTTGAAAGGAGTAAAACCGACAAACATAGTCTCAATAAAGCCCAACTTTGTCCTTACGCAGAAAAAATCATGAATAATTAAACTCAGAAGGAGAGAACAATGATCAGGATAGCTGCACCCGTTCGTGCAATGCTTTTCAATACATGGATACCTAAACTTCGACTCAGTAGCTACCTGTGCAGCTGCAAGTCGCTGTACAGAAGTGATAGTATACAGAAAGTTTCTCTATCCTTCGTCCCATTTACTTTTCCTGGATTCCCGGAATTCTTTGGATAATAATAGTCAAAGAACCCATTGAACACGATCAAATGGAAAAAATCCAACTACGAAACTAACGCTGTTGCTGTCGGTAATCTGGACGATGAGGAGGAGAAGGTGGTTGAAACCCAGAATGAGAAGCCCGGGCGTAAGCTCCATCAATGTCTACATATTGTGCTGTTGGCTGCATTCAATTGACAAAAAGAATGAGAACCCATACCCAGAATTTTCCGAGTTCGCAACAGGAAATATGCACGATAATCGACACTAAAAAAGCAACCCGATTAGCAACCTCCCGAAAATGCATTAGTTTCAAGGTAATTCAAGAATAAGGAGAGAGCAACTACCTGCTGCATGTAACCATAAGCAGGGGGTTGAGGACCACCAGGCATGCCACTGTCACAACCCCACAGAACCATCAGTGCTACATCCTAATAAGGGCAATGAAAATTGATCGCATGTATTGTTTCCCTGAATCATGGGATTTATTCCTCTCCGAAATGCTTACCCAAACTGCTGTCCACGACCAACCGGGGGGACCTTGCCACCACCATATGGACCAGCCGCATAGGCTCCACCTGCAGGACCGCCATAACCACCACCTCTCCCACCTTGGTGTCCCATATTGGGTGCAGTGTACGCCCCCGGCTGCTGCTGTCCAGGCGCTCCGTACACCCCACCTGGTCCATTGCGGTTAGGTCCTCCAAATCCACCATTTTGACTTGGTCCTCCATGGGGGGGACGTCCTCCAGGAGCTCGGCCTTGATTATTACCTCCTTGACTCCTGTCGTTAAAGGCAGCTGATCAGTGATTTAAAAATTAAAAAAATTAAAAAAAATTAAAAAAGAAGAAGGTGAAATTTAGCCATCGCGAAAAAGGAAAACGACATAATGGTTAGATTAACGTATTACAAGCATCACCCCTCCAACCAAGAAAGTACATGTAAATGCTTGTGGCAACCTAGAGTAAAAGACAAGTAATAAATTTTTTTTGGTTGTTAAGACGCAATACCTGTTGTTATAATTATTGTTGTGCTGATTAGGAACACCATTTGCATGCACTGGAGCACCCAAGTTGTGACCAGGTTGATGAGAGCCAGGACGTAAGGGTTGCTGCTGGATAGGTGGCAAACGTGTGTGAGGAGCTGGATGGTGTTGGACCTTCATCCGTTTGGCCTGCTCCTCTTGTTGCTGCCTCTGTTGCTGCCTCTTCTTCTTGGTTTGAAATTCATGAGAAGCTTCATACTTCGGCAAACTACGAAAACACACAAATTGTCGATCAGCAACATTAATATTAAAAACCATGTCACAACTTTCTTCACAAAGAAAGTCCTGATCAGACTTAGCTGACCGGATCAGTGAACTACTTCATCGAGTGCCAGATCCTGCCCACCTGCTTGGTTGGCAGGGAAAGGGTTCAGTCCAGAAATATTCGGCGTCGAGTGCATCTTTAGCACAGATTCGCTGCACAGACAAAACCATGAATTAATGCACAGATAAGAGGTTTCGATGTAACGAGGATGTTTAAGCGTAGCATACTGAAGTGTGAAGCAATATCCCAATGCGTAACAAATGATCACACTCACATGGTCAGGATCCAGAGTCAACATTCGCTCCAAGAGATCGAGGGCATGCCGATCAAAACTGCATCATGAATCTAGAATCAGTCAGCAGGAGGCCACAGTGATTTCGTACAACAGATAACCCAACAACACTTCACGTGACAGAAAAGCAGCAATGGACATCCAATTTCTCAAAATGCAATTTACTGCTACTGGGATGAGTTAATGCAAGAAATAGCTCATAGATGGCTCTACATGTTTGCATACATCAATGCCGAAAAGTGTACGGGCCTTACTGTTTGAAAACATCCTTCACACGGCGCTTAAATGGCCTTTCAGATTTGAATTGATTGTAGTAAGGCAACTGACTCACACGAGGCCAATTAGTCTCATCAGGAGACCCGCAAAGTTCACAAATTTTGTGGAATTGTTCATTCTGCAGTCAATACACGCAGTATTATAGACCAGGTCAGAAAATTTAGCAATTCCACAGTGCGAGCAGATAAAAGATTAAGGTGGGTATTTAGCTAGATATCCACATAATGAGGCAAATGAACTAATAAACCAGAATCTACCAACCAATGAGCTTCTACTGGTACCAGGCAGGCAATAAACTATCCAACAAAAGATAGAGTGATCAAAGCTGGACTTTCAAGCGCTGAAACAAGGGCTTAAACGTTAAAAAAAATTACTGTACTGGCTTTTAAGCACTGAAAAAAAGGTCGAGAAGATATACAATGGCATACTATTAATGAGGACTACTTCCCGTATCAAATCAAAGATTGCAAAGGATAGAATATTACAATCTGCACCGGTGAAGCCAATCATACTGATACCATTCATAATCAAACACCCAAAAACGAACTACTATCGAAAACATCTGACCACTCCAACCCTAAACAGGACTGAAGCAGGATCATCAATCCAAATGAGAAGGCCGCAGTTCTGTGAATCTAAAGTCACACCTCGTTCCTTCCGGGAAGGATGGGTTTCCCATTAAGAAGCTCAGCAAAAATGCACCCCACTGACCACATGTCCACAGCTGGAGTATACTTTGTGGAGCCCATCAGCAGCTCAGGGGGCCTGAAACAGGAAGAAATACTAGAAAGTCAAGTGACTTACTAGTAGTCGTCCACTATGGAGCAATGCTCACTTATGCTCAGTCAAAGAAAACTAACTCCCCTCCTATCCGAACCAAGATAATGATAGCAGGGCCAAAAGTAGAACACTGATGCCTTACCTATACCAAAGAGTGATAACTCTGTTTGTCAGTGGTTGACCATTCTGATCATTAGAAAACGACCTTGCAAGCCCAAAATCAGCAAGCTTCAAAATTCCATTGTTGTCGATAAGAAGATTTGAACCTGAAAAAGAGATATCAGAAAATCCACAAGTAGGTAAGATATGACTTGATAGATCTAAACCAAGATTAATACAAAAGGACTGTTATTCCTAATCAATGGAAAGCTGGTTCAGCTGAAAAACCGTACAACTTACCCTTGATGTCCCTGTGCAAGACTTGGTTGACATGGCAGTAATGTAGCCCGGTGAGAAGCTGCTTCATGTAACACTACAGTGTAGAAGAGACAAATTAAGACTGTCCCATACAAAATGAAGAGACAAGAAGAACATGTGGAGGTCCACTAAAATTATGTAAAAGTCAAATAAAATCGAGCAGCCAGGTCACCGTGAGATCTCTTTCAAAATATACCTTAATCTGGGGAATAGAGAAACGCATGCCAGGTCGATCTGAGAGGCCAGTCAAATCATGGTCCATGTACTCGAACACCATGTAAATCGACCCTTTGAACTTATTCGCTTCACCTGGCTTGATGTTGTCCTCCTTCTCTGGTCCTGTTTAAATAAAAAGCAACTGCGCTTAGTATGTGTCCTCACAAAATCAAAAAATATATATTCATCGGACTACTCATTTGAAAGAAAGAACCAAATCCTCAGCAATAATGACATGCTCAGAATACAGAGAGACGTCTATCGACATATAGTTCATGTACGCATACATAAGACGATGATAAAATCAGCGCCCACCTTTAGAGGTCACAATTTCCTTCAACTTGATGACATTCGCATGTTGCAATTTCTTAAGAATCTTGATTTCGCGAATAGCAGTAATGGGAAACTGCAATCAAAGCCAGAATTTATAATGTGAGACATGTTTCCGGGAGACAATCATCTAAATCAAATCCTAAATTCTGAATTGAAAGTCTGCGAAGAATATCCCACACAAATATACGTCCCTAACTAAAAGAAACGTCGCTACTCGCAAAGCTACGTGTGATTAAAAAGCGAGCAGCTGGCCCTGACGACATCAAATAACGGCGCTTGTAGACAATTTTTTGAGAATGTTAAATACTTCGCATCCTCTTTAACCCTAAATTGCACCCGGCACCTCTCAAACAAGAATAATGAACTTAAACGCACCCCTTCTTTCTCATTGTCCATGCGTACTTTCTTCAGCGCAACCACTTCCCCCGTAGCTATCTCCCGTGCCATATAAACTTGGCTGCAAAACAAAAGTTCTTCTCAATTTCTTGAAGGTCGTGCTAAACCTTTCATATGCGACCACAAGTCCCTCTCTCTCCCTCTCTCTCTCTCTCTCTCTCTCTCTCTCTCTCTCTCTCTCTCTCTCTCTCAAAAGAACCTACGCTTGTAAAGTCCCAGGTATTGAAACTCCAAAAAAAAATGCACGAAACCATTCTTCATCTACTAACTGCACAAACATCATAATATTCCAACACAATGCTGAAAACACCTAACTCAATCCTACATTATTGACGCTCTCATCTATATGATAAAAAGTGCTTCTAAACCTCGACTAGGATTCCGCGACACTTAACGCATCACATCGTGTCAGAGCCCCGGAAATGAATGCAAGAGAGAGAAAAAAAGGAGTGAAAAGAGGGACAGATAACACAGCAGAATCCCATACCCATACGTCCCCTCTCCAATCTGCTCGATTTTCTCATAAACATCCACACTCCGCGATCCCCAGGTGGGAGTCTCGTCCAAATTCAGCTGCCCGGCCACGGCAACCGCCATCGTCGACTCCCACAAAATTTCAAAATCCTATGGCTTTATCACGAAGGAGTTAGGGCGGCAGATCTGTCTAACCCCTCCCCTTCGGAACACGAAATTAATCGTCAAAACATTGCTTAAAAACCCTCTCTCTCTCTCTCTCTCTCACTCTCGCCCTCTCCCCTGTCACCCCAACCTCCTCCTCCAAATCCTTCTCCTCCTTCTCCTCCCTCCACCACTTGCTCCCTCACTTGCGTAGCAAATCCCGCATACTGAACCAAACACCCCGCAAAAACAAAGCAAAGCAATGATCTCCCACGCTGGATGACCAGAAGGCTGGTACTGATAAGGATGCTCCCACAGACCTGAACGAAGAAGGAGAGATGGCCTGCGGAGCAAGGCAACCAATCCAGGAAAGATCAAACAGAGAGAGAGGAGTGGCTTGAAACCCTAAAACCATCCCCAGGCTGAAAATGAGAGTGAGAAATGCTGCCTCCACAAACTTTAAAGGCGCACCAAAGTAAAAGTAAAAAAAAAACAGAAGCTTATCAAGGAAGGGCTCCTCAGGGCCCGATACCTTATCCGACGCGGGCACTTTGGGGAACGCTACTCGAACTGTCTTGGGAACGTGGCGTTCACACTTTGGGAGATTATACAAGTGATTTCACACTCAAAATTATATACTTACAATAAATGATTTAATTTCTTTAAAAAATGTAAAAAAGAATCACAAGATCCAAAAATAATAAATATTGTCAACCTAGCTGGCAATAAATTTTGAAACAGGCCAAGTAAAAATTACACGTTTTCTTGTGTCTTAATTGCACAATTTTATGGAGAATCCTTTAATAGCATATTTTCATTCTTCTTCTTCTTAATACAACTTTAAATACAAAATAATAGATATGGTATTTAAATATTATTATAAAATAAAATTTTAATAGCACAAAATTATACATTTTTTTTTTATTTTGATACATATATAAATATTAAAAATGAGGAGTACAATTGGGGGTAGAAAACTAGTAGTATAAAGCCATATGGTTCCTTATGTGATTAAATATGATTGTTTTTTAATGAAATATTATCACTATTTGATATCATATCTTAAGTTTTAAGATTTGAATTATTTATACAATATTGCGCAACGTTTGTTAACTTACTACAAATTAAATCAGCATATTAACTTACCACAATATTGAGCAGTCTTCACATTTTTACTAGTCTTAAATTAGAATTTTAAACCAAGTTTCATCATTTTTATTAAATTGGCTTGAATTTTTACATACCTAATTGTGATGCTAGATGTTGTTGATGTAGTGATTTAATGCACACCATTCTATCCAAATTGTTTATCTTCTCATCATTTAAATAGTTTATTATTGAATAATTTCATTTTTGCAATTTTCTTTATTACTTTTACCAAAGGTGGACTCAAAATTTGCAACAATTGTTTTTGGAAATAAAGAATATCATAAATTTTTTGATTTATTTCCAAAAATAAAATAAAATAAATAAAGATATAAAATAGGCCAATGTAACAATATCCAATGAAATTCTTGTAAATTCCACTTAGATGATTACATCTAGAGCTCAAAAGATGACAGGAGATAAATAATCATATATATATTTGGCCTCTTTTCTTACAAACTAAAAGTATTCCTTGGTGATTAATTAATTAGTATTATTTATTAATTGAATTTCTTTAAATTATTGCTTTAATTTTTAAAAAATATTTTAAAGGTTTAGTTATCAAAAATTACCAAGTTCATAATTGTATAACCCTCCCATTATTACTTAAAAGTGGTCTAAGATTATAGCAATGCATTTAAGAGTATATACATTAATATACCAACAATAAATTTATATACATATAACACAATTGTGACACTTTTGTATTATATAATAAGGTACATAATGTTTTCATTTTTAGTGTACTTATTTTCATGAGACTCACCTGTTGTCTGCAATATTCTATTCCCAATTAAGCTCTTATCAAAGTTCTAATCAACGAATAATTTATGTGAGTTTTCAATAAATCTAACTTATTTCTACTTTATTTTAAAATACATTATTGTCTAAAAGGAAAATTTGTACAGCTTAGTTAACCTTACGTACCAATCTGAGTAAATAAAAAATTCAAAGGTTAATTGATAGAATTGTGTGTACTTAAATGTGTCCTAATATTTATTTATTGTGCAAGTGACATTGGAAATGGAAAGTTCATCAACTATGAATTCAAGATGAGTAACATGATTTATACTTTTAGTCTGTCTTATCGATGTTCTGTAGTATGTGTGTATATATATGTATTATTAAATAAAACCAAACCATGATTATTCCGTGTGTTTTCATTTGTTATGTTCAAGTTTTCATTCAAAATATAATGTCCAAACTATACAATAATCAAAGTTTTTTAACAAATTGAAAAGACATAAATCAGAACAAAAATATAATTTTAAATATACGAGTTTCAATTCGTACTCACAACAGCTTCATAATACATTTCAGTTAAAAAATTGCTACCTTAATATCATTATCGTAAGATGTTTATTATAGAAACTTATGCATTACAAAGGCAAAAGTTTATTCAAATAATACTAATGGGCTTATATTGAAATATAATTTGATAACTCAGAGCCCTCAGAAATGAAACGTAACGCTGCTAATATGTTAAGTGTTCCTTTTCCATTAACTCCTCCAGAAATATGACAATTTTGTGCTGCTTAGACCCAAATCAGGTTGTGCCCGAATAATAATCCAACGTTTCAACTACTGAGCTTAAAGACCCTCCCCCAGATATATACTTGCACGGGGAAATATTACAGTTGCAACCTGGTCTTCAGACATAAAATTATAAAGAACATGACGATTTAATTCTACTGTGAAGAAGCTGATCACTCAATATAGCTCAGTTCCAGTGTATGGAATGGCCGTAGCGTGTCGCAAGCAGAACATATCAATGCGATCCCAAGCCTCCTCAAGCAAAGGTAATGGAGTGGCGAATACAATTCGCAACCAGTTGGGTGAACCAAAAGCAGAACCTGTGCATCCACCACGAATCCATCAGCGTGTAAACTATGTGAGATCTAACACTTGGAATATCTATCCTTCAAAAAAAAAAAAAAAAAAAAAAAAAACGTTTCGGTAGATAACTGTGTTCAACGATTCTTGAGAGGAGAGTTGACATTAACCTGGTAGCACAACGACAGACTCTTCTTCCACCAGCAAGGACGCAAACTCCACGTCGTTTGCTATGTCCGTAAACACAGAAGGGTCAATTTTCACCTGCAAAATAGAAAGCTAAAAAGTTAAAATGATGAAGGCTAAAGAATGCCAGGACGAAGATGGACTGTCATGTTGCCGTTGCCAACGTTACAATGAACAAAAGAAGGCCTACCGACCAAAAGATTTGCTAGACTTAACCTCAGAAATAATATTAAATGCATTTGATTCTATGATTCGAGGAAAAGTGCTTACCATAATGTACATAGCTCCTTGTGGTTTCGTTGGGCATTGAAGGCCTTTGATACATTGCACTCGTTCATAACACAACTCGGCCCCAGCCTTCAATGACTTTATTGTACCTTCAAAGAAGCTTGAAGGAGTGTTGAGCAGCATCCCAGATACTGCAGCCTGTGAGAGTGTTGAAGTACCAATAGTCATCTGCATGAGTCTTGTAAGCGCTTCTACTACCTGGCAGCCCCAAGCAAGTAGAAAAATCAGAATTTTTCACAAGACTCAAAAATGTCAAAAATCTAAACTTTACTGCAAGTTCAGCGAAAAGACATCAACTACTCACCTCAAAGTAAACTTAAACCATACTGAATGTTATGATAGATAGAAACACTGGCTTTTATTAACAAGGATTGAAATATCTCACACTTACTTTTCCTCTAGCAAGGATCCCCTTGGGATCAGCAATGATGATCCAGCCAAGGCGCCATCCAGGAGCAAGCCATCTCTTCGAAATTCCTCCAACTGTCAGCACTGGTACCTTCATAGAAAAGGCTGCCATCGGAGTAAACTCCGTTGGGCCGAAAATCATATTTGCATAAATTTCATCAGATATTAATGGTATCTTTAATTTCTCAGCGGTGTTGGCAATCTGCAACAGAAGATGCAGCACTAGTTGTCAGCCAAGCCGGAAAGTGTACTTCATCACCTCCAACCTGTTTTCACTTCTGAAAAATATTCATCAACTACTCCATATTTACCGTCAAACGACCAGAGCCAGACAAGGTGGACAGATCACCAGTCACACTAAAACAACTCAGAACCACACAAATCTGCAATTGTCAAACTCTTCTTCACTACCCTGACCCACTGCGAGTGAAAGATCTCTCAAGTTAACAAACCTTAAGTAAGTGCGGATATCTGTACACAGATCCACATGGATTGCTTGGATTACAAACAATCCAAGCGACTGTATTGCGGTCCGCAAGAGACGTAATTTGATCCAAGTCAATTTCCCAATCCCGCTCTGGGAGAAGATCATAAAATCGGCACTCTACGTCATAGTACTTGCAAAAGGTTTCATAGATGGGGAATCCAGGTCGAGGAATGAGTATATTGGCCCCTTCTGTGGATAAAGCAGCTAAACATAACTGTATAGCTTGAGAACATCCTACTGTGATGGCAATATCTTCAGCAGTAAGCTTGAAAGGCAGCGATGAAGAATGATAATCAGCAACAGCCCTGAAATTCATCACCACAACAAGAGTCATGAAATATCTGAAACTAATCCTCCACTGTGCACATTTTCACTGTTGTATCCGACAAACTTCGATGACGATGAAATGTATTTAAATCTTAACAATACGTGATCCACAAATATGAAAAGTCGGAAGAACGCCTTACTTTCGGCATTCGTGGGACCCCGCCGAGTGTGTGTAACCGTTGAACATGTAGCTCTTGGTAGCAGCCACCATAGCCTCCACTGCGGCATCTGGTACTTTCAAGTGGCCAAAGGCAGTTGGGTCTCCCTGTGCTAAAGATATTTTCTCCTTCTTTCTCGAGGAAACTACACACAATGACTCCAACAGCTCACGAATCGGATTGGTGCTCGCTATGGCAGCAGGGGACGCACGGATATTCCACTCCGCATCCGACTTTGCTTCCTATACAACAGAGCCCCAAATCTCAGTACTCGTTAGTCGCTGCGTTACTCTGCTTCAGCGCTCAAATATTAAAATTGTACAATTACTTATGTAGCAAGGACTGAAAGATGACCAGTATCACTTCGCTCGAATCGCCACTGTATCAGAGTAACAGTAATAAGCACTGTTCCTTACATCCAAGGGATTAAAAATGCACGTGTTTGAGGTCGTTAGTTAGCAGTAACTCTTACTGCATGTATAAACTGCTAACTAAACACGTGCGCCTAGAAGCACGAAACCTAGCCGTTAAAAACTTCAAGCGTAGCACAAGAAAATGTCTTCTTCAGAAACACATCGCGAGCCTCGGTATTATAATTTTCGATTACAATGAGGTAAGCGATATACCTGTGACAGGACACCCGTTGCTGGCAGCACCTTGAGGTCTCCATTGACAACTTGAGGTTGAGAAGCCTTGACCTCAGGTGTAGACGCGACTACTACTGAGCTCCCTTTCCGTGTAAAGCCATTCTCGAAACGGACATCCTTCTCTTGAATACTGTTATGCGTGATGAACGTTACCATACTCACAAGATGATGAAGCGTGCAAGAAAAATGGATTAATGTACTACTCTTCCAGGAACTCCAGGAGCTCCTCTATCTCTTCCGAAAACTCTCACAATGAACCCCCTATTCAGTTTCCAGTATAATGTGCTCACGACCTATTCAGCTTTGTGCAGGACCACAACTGAACTCGCACGATGGTACTCACGACGCCGCGGTGCGACGTACCCCCCTTCCGTCTCAGGCTCCAAAGTTAGCAACAATTCAAATGTACCCGCGAAGGCCTTCAGTTTCCTATTACAAAAACTAAAACTTCCAAATTTTCGATACTAATCAAATTCGGGAACAGAAGCTCGACCCGCCACAGCTCAATACCTTCCAATTTCAATCAAATATCAATCTCCAACTCCCAACTCCATCAAGGATTCCCAACTTCAGTCCGCGACTCTGTTGCGAATCGTCTCAGCGATCATGAACCTCTGACAACAAACCCACAGCGGAGAAAATGAGGCGCTCTGAAAAAACAAATCCCGGATCCGTCTCACGTATTCACAGCAGCAGCTCGGGGACATAGCAAAAACGATCGTGTCCACACCCTCCAATACAACCCCCGATTCCCTTACACGCGCTCACAAACCTCGCAGCCCCCTAATTCTTGAGTTCCGGGAGGGGAAAAAAAAAACAGAACCCCCGCAATACTCACCACGAAATCGTGATAACAAGGCTCACGTCAAGTTCGGCAACCGAAACAGATGACCTTCGAAACTTCTCCACACTGGCCACTTTCCGTCAGCCAAGTGGACTTACCCACTTAAGTGAGGCTACAATACCAACACCTCACACCCCCCAACGTCACGCACACATCCGAAGCTCTCACAACCAGACAGAAAAACTTACACAAGCCACGAAAAGGAAACTTATCCGCCCTTTCCTCACGCCTCCACAGGGAAACAGAAAGCGGTGTAAAACCTCACAGAGAACAGAAAAAGGCCATGCCCACCCACACGCCCAGCTCTCCTCAAAATCTCTCCACGCAAGCAACAATGAACAACCTATCTTCCCTTCAAGCGGTTCCCCTTTCCCAGCAGCAGCTCGACCCAACAGCCCAATGACTTCCCCCGCAATTCCCCGAATGCAGCAGCGTTTCCACAGTATCCCTCGATTGTGAATCAATGTTGCCGATCATAAGCCCACAGCCAGACAGAAAACTGCAACAGTGCTGCGTGGCCTGATGGGGAATGTGACTTTGAGCACAGGGTGCTGCTGCTATATATATATATATCCTACTGCTACTGCCATAGCCACAGCTCCTTCACGGTTCTAAAGCTGCGGCAGCTTTTTGAGAGAGTTTTTGTTCCTCTTGGTTCCTCAATCCTAGATTCCATGACATCTATACAGTTTTAGATTTACTAGAATATGAAAGCGTAACTTCCTCAGAGTTTTTACAAAAAGGAATGTGGGGGCGTGTGGTGTAGACTTTTTTTATTAATTCCTGGTGTTATTTCGGTTGGATTAATCGCTTGTGGAATGCAAGCCTGACGTCTGCCAAGCGGTAAAGTCTTTGGCTGCCGCATCACCCCATGCATCGACAGCCCTTAACGAGTCAACTCTGACTCCCTCACTTTCCTTTTGTTGTGTTGCTGCGAAGACTCCAAAGCACCTTAAATCAACACTGATTTGTCACCGTAAATCACCTTCAGTGGTCACTCCAAAGCATTCAAAAAGATGCTCTGAAAGTTTTTTATTATGAATAGACGGTTCTCAACAGATTGAAGAATTTTGTATCGAATTTTGTATTGAATTTCGAGAAATTTTGCATTGTATGAGGCAGCGTACAAAAATTGTGTCTGGTTTCTGTGCATGGACAGATCAAAGTCCCCATCAGAGATTGGATACTAAATGGCTTTTGGTTCTCATCATGGTAGAGATTCTATATGAAGCTTGTGACTAGTATGTGGGTTTCAAACTCAAGGTGGATTTATGTAAGAAAATGATAGATTGTAAGAATCTACAGTAGTGTCTAGGTTGAGTAGTTTTCATGGGGTGGTTATAATGAAAAGATGTGAAAGCAGCGGACAGGGACTGCAACTGAAAGTAGTGTTGTGTTGAAACTCTAGCAAGTAAATTTGGACTGAAAATTGGCTCTTGGGGAGAAGAGTTGTGTTTTCAGATGACTGAAAATGCAGTGTCATACTTTGACCTCAGCAAGTTTACCAGAATTGGAATGTGTATGTTTGAAAGCATGAGTTTTCTGATTTCTCTTTCAATTTTCAAGGTGGGTTAATGTCTCAAAATTTTCATATATTTATCCCCCTCTTCAAATTGTGAAAGTTGAGAATATATACCAGTTGTGCTAAGAAAAATAGAATTCATCAACTTGATTAGTTCATGGTCTAATCAGTTCATGGTCTAATCAAGTTACTAAGTTTGGAGGGTTGCTCACCATCACCCAAAAACTTTTTACATTTTGGTAATAAAGTTGGAAAATAGTTAAAGTTCATTTGAAAAAAGTCAGGTAATAAAATTTTGAACGAAACTCCTTTGGACCATTAATACAGTTTAAAGCAATTTCTGTGTGAGGAAGTAGTAGTGCCGGATTCTAAGCGGAACATGGCTGATGCTGTGGCTGAAGTCCAATTTCAGCAAGTGAGGTTAGTGTGGAAATGCTTTGTACGAGAGTTGTGTTAGAATGCAGTGAAGTTGAGACTGTAGTTGATGTTCCCAAACACATGCAGAGCCAGTTCTGCATGGAATTGGGCCCCAGATCTAGCACAGGTAAACAAATATCTGCCTCATGTACAATACCAATGAAGGAAGCAATAACTCACTGGCAAAATGCTATCCTTCCATTTCTTTCTTATCTGGTTCTACAATAGCCCAACAACACACAAATCACTAGAATGGAGAACCAAGGTAATGAAAAGATAAAAGAAAATAAATGATAGAGGAAGGGAACCAGCCTTTGTAACTACTTGCCACTCAGTAGAATTCACATGAGCCACTGTCTTCACAGGGGCACCAGGTGAATGAGGAATGCATGACCAACACCTCAAGTAAATAACCCATCAATATGTGCGTGAACATATATCTATATATATATATATATATATATATAGATATATAGATATATACATTTATGTTCACACATGCACACAATATTTGAAGCTGAAATCTAAAACAATATTTATTTTGTGAAGCAAAACCAAAAATGTACACTGGTACAATTATTCCAGATGAATTGTATTTATCATCATCTTCTTCTTCTTCTTCTTCTTCTTTTTTTGTTGAAAACTCACATTACTCACATTACCATTTTTTGTTTGTATTAATGTACATTAATACAAATAAAAAAAATAAACTTGAGGAATCAGCAACTTGATTTTGATTTTGATTTTATTCTTCATTTGACTTTTTACATGGAATAATACCCTCCATTGTTTGAGAGGGTGCTCAACAAATAAATGGAAATAGAAAAAAGATAAAGCTTAAAGCCAATCTGTTGTCCGTCCTCCCACCATCCAAGTAAAATAACACATTATGAAATGAATTAAAAAGAATAAACAAAAGAACAAAAAATCCAATGGCCACATATCACCATCTCATACATTTACAAGCCAACACTTTACAATCTCAAACATTGAGCAGCTTTCAGCTTTTAGGGGGGGGGGGGAGAACAATGGTTCAAATTTCATTCCATATTGACTCATACTCCTATCATCATGCAAAAGAATTTTGTGTTTTCAAGTGGAGCCAAAGCTGCCCTTGCCTTCAAGGGTGGAGGATTTTTCTGGCAATGGAGCCTGGTTTCCCCGCTTAGCTTGTGCAATGAATGTGGTGACATGGCAGGATGATGACATGGTAGTGAGTGTAGGTGTCATCCTAGTGCTGATGTGGAAGGCGCTGGTGCTGAGGTGGAGAAGTTAGGTGTCCACCTGGGGTCCCATGTGGAGCCCTTGTCATGCCACCTCAGATTAGAGTCAGGGGCCTGGCTGAGTGAGTGAGTGGGGGGGGGGGGATTGGGGCTTTGGCTAAAGCAGAACCAGCTTGGTTGCTTGTTTGGTGGTGATGATGCTTCCGTGTAACACACAACTTTGTGGCAGAATTTGACAGCTAAAATGATGGGGCCACAGCATTCCTGTTTTTACAAGGAAAATTGAAAGCTTCAGGAGGATGAGGGGCAAAATGAGTTCCATGGATGGTGCCTAAGAATCCTTGGCCTTGAAACTATCTCCTCAGATTGTACATGATGCAATGGGCATTAAAATGTCCATCAGGCTTTTGTGGGGTTGTTCTGAAAACTAAGCATTTTTTAATAATAATTCAAGCATTTAGATACAAGTATGCTTCCTTACAGGATTTTAGGTACAAGATTGAATATATATTCATGAATATTCATGACATAAATCAGTATATTCAATATATGACATATAATCATGATATATATATATATATATATATATATTCCTTGTTTCTTGAGGCCAATACTCCATCACCATCTTATAATATTCATGTACTCTTGATAGGGAGTTTCAAACATGGCTTTTTTGGGTAATTTTTGCTTAAATTATGTTGTGATATTTTGAAATATCACAACATACTTTACCAAATCACCCACCTTGTGAAGTGGGTGATTTTGAAATTAGGTGATTTTGAAATTGAAATATTGACAATTGTATGTTGTCATTTCTTCATGCACTTTTCCAAATATGATCAAGATCATTTATCTTAAAAATAATGAATACAAAAATACTACCATAAATATAATTTATCATGAAGCTCATTTAACTTAGCTATTTAATTTTTTGTAGTGAATAAAAGTAATTTTTATTAATTAAAGAAACATAAATGATTCCATTATTAAAAAATAATATGTATATATGCATGCATAAATTATTAATACATATATATGCATTCTTTGTTTTTCAAGATCAATATTTTATCACCATCTATAATATTTAGGTAGTCTTATTCTAAATTTTTTTTCCAATTATACTCTTTTTTAAATATGTATTATTTCAATAAGTATTAAAATTACATATATATTAAGAAAAATTGTATTCCTCCAAAAAAATCTAAAAAATATATTATTAAGTATTAATTAATAAAAATTATGTTCTCCTCTTTAATAAATTATTTTTGATAAATACTAATTTAAATTAAAGTAAGATTATGAATTTTTATAACTTAAATAAAATTGAATTAAGTCCATTGCATATAAATTATATTGTCATTGGCATTTATTGTATTGTATATAGTTCACAATATCTTGAAACATCATCTATTCTATATCATGCACTATATATTCTACATCATATAGACATTATTAGCTATATATTCTATCAATTTCTTTAGGATTTAAAATTTAGTTTTTCTTGAATAAAATGCTTAATTTTTTAAAAATATAATTTAAAGATTTAATAATATAATAATATTATGATAAATTTGTAATTTAATGATTTATTTAGATCTATAATAAAAAGACTTTAAATTTATTTAGGTGAAAAAAAAAAGAGATCCTTCAATATTATCAATGATTAGTACCTAAAAGAAAAAATATCATCAATAGATCAGAGACTACATGAACTAATTTTACTTACATCAAGTATATGAATCTCAAAGAAAAAGAATCTTAATATACTCTTGTGTCACTTGAAAAGACTAAGAAATCACTCAAAGAGGGTAGTATATTCAACTAGAATGGTTACTGCCAAAGACAAGAAGACTAAAAAGTCTTGAAATAAGACTAAAAACTAGAAAAGCATTGATAAGAGTGAAGGCTTTATTCTTGCCTCCATATATACTATCTAACTAAAAGCTACATAATAATGTTCTATAGGATTTTCAATACATGTTGACTTTGAAAGACATATGTCTTAACTTGCAAGGTAAGTTTTTTATATGTATGCTACATAGTTAGCTTGTTTCACAAGCTATCAATATGTATGACACATGGCTAATTTATTGATCAAGTTTCTAAACTATCAATCAACTATAAATACATATAAAATCAAAATTGCATCTATGAAGCTTCTAGAAAGCTCTTTTAAAATATATTATGAAATTAATCTAATTTTACTTACTTCTATCTAATCATATAGGTAATTATTGAAATAAATATTTGTATCTATGATATTATTCCTCCTTCTAAAGACAAGTTGTACGAGGAGCAATCATCATATGCTGAAGAAATCTAAGATGCTATAAATTGTATTTGTCTTATATTCTAATCATTGTTCTCATTAAAGATCATTGATGGGTC